AACCATTGGAAAACAAGCTGGGAGTACTGGACAGGTGTCTCGTCAATCTAGTTCGGGTCTTATTTCCATTATGGATACAATTTTATTTTGATAAAGTCACACAGTGTTATACAGTCATATTTATTAATGACGTTTCCAGCACAAATTAATACATCTCATAATCATATCAAGGTACTCCCATAACTTTAGTGCTTCGTTTATATACATTACTGGTAACACATTTGAATAAAATCAATATAAGACTTGCGTGAAACAGAATGGAAGATAAAGTACATTCGGAACAAATCTTAGTGAGAATTAAGACGAGTGTTGTTAGCCAATCTATTATGGAAGATAAAATACATTCGAAAATAATATTAGTGTTATCAATAAATTAAAACAGGATGGGAAATAGGACGAGTGTTTTTAGTCAATAAGATGGGAAATAAAATGTTTTTATAGTAAAATAAACAACTTGTCAGAATGTTGTGAGTGTGAATTGAAATACATTTTAATATTATTTATTATCCTCTAATACCCTTGACCTGGTATTCATTAATGATGAGGAAATATATGAAGTACGCCGACGTGCTCCTATCATGAACTCAGATCATTGTATTATTCGGATATTACCTAAGATATACAGCAGATCTCACTTTAATATCTTCTCAAATCTGTCCAAGAAAACACAGCAAAGGTGTTACTCACAAGAAAATATGCTCAAACTAAGATGCATGCTAAATGACACTAACTGGGAACTTTTCAACGAACACAAACTGGATGATACTATTTCCAATTTGACTGACTATCTTAAATTCTGTCTTGATATATGCTGTCCAAAACAGATAATTTTCAAAAGAATGGATCGTTTTTCTTCCCCTCATCTCAAAAAACTTCGTAGAGAAAAAGAGAAGCTGTACAAGACAAAGAATAAATCTGGTCTTAAGAAGATAAACACCCAAATTAAATCTGAAATCAAGAGACTAAACAACATTTATAATCAAACAATACTATCTTGTAAAACCTCAGAAAACATATGGAAGCTTTTTAGAGAAATTACTGGTTGTGGTAAGCATAATAATTTTGCCTCTTCTATTGATGTAAATACTCTCAATAGATCTTTCATCCGCCCTCCAAATGTCCTTTCTGCCTTCAATTTAACTAATAACACGACCAGTGACTTTCATCGTTTCAATACTTCTGATGTTCTTAAATGTTTGAAATCTCTTAAACCTTCCCAGAGTCTAGGCCCTGATGGTATACCTGCCATTGTTTTAAAGAAATGTGCTGATATTTTAAGTAACCCACTTACAAGCATTTTCAATACTTCTTTTTCTAATAATAATGTACCTTCTCTGTGGAAAGATATTAAAATCATCCCTGTACCCAAGTCTGGTTCTGGAGATAGTGTTAAGTTTAGACCAATTGCCATTACCTCTCCTTTTTGAAACTGATGGAGAAATTACTGTTACAAAAACTCATTCCCTCCCTAAGCTTCTCAAACGATCCAAAGCAGTTTGCTTACAAACAGGGTAGAAGTACTTTGGATGCTGCTGCTGTGTTTCATCACAACATTGTATCCTCCTTAGACAAAGGGGCCAAGTATGTCCGTTGTACTTTCCTTGATTACACATCTGCTTTTGACTCTGTACCTAGAGGCCTTTTGTTAAACAAGCTTAGCCTTACACAAACTGAGTCCTGGGCTATCAACTGGCTGCACTCTTACTTCTCCAATAGGATGCAGTACACGGTATATAATGGTGTAGCTTCCTCTCCTTTGCTTACTGAAGCTGGTGTTCCTCAGGGTGCTGTTCTCTCGCCGTTTCTCTTTTCCTTCTTCTTACATGACTTACCTCTCTCAGACGAAATCAACTTCGTCAAATATGCAGATGACCTGACTGTTTCGCTTCCCGTTAAGTCTCAGTCAGACTGCTTCAAATTAAATAGCTTCCTGTCGGACATCAGTCAGTGGTCTAAAATAAATGGCCTAACGCTGAATCCCTCAAAATGCCAGACTGTCGACTTCTCCTTTAGGCATAAACGAGATCTACAAACACTAGTAAGCACTCATGATGTCTGTAGAATTGAGGGGACTATAATTGAAACAAAGTCTAATGCAAAATACCTCGGATTAGTTATATCTTCCGACCTTACTTGGTCATCTCATATCCAAATGATTTCCAAGAAAGTGTTTCGTCTAACCTACTACATTAAGAAACTCAGACTAACTGGAGTCCCTCAACCTCTGCTTTCACAATTTGTCAACTCTCGTATCCTACCTATTCTACTTTACTGTTCCCCGTTAGTCTTTCCTGGGTTACTGAAAAAGGATTATACCATCCTGAGAAGGATGTTGAAGGTAGTTAGTAGGACTAGCGGTGTAAAACTCAGTCAGCTCGTCACAACATTAGTGGATAAGCATCTGAATACATGTGAGAAATGGTCTAAAACCATACTCTCTGACCCCCAACACCCCCTCTATTCCCAACTCTCTCCCTGCATCTCATCAGGTAGAACCAGAAATCAGTATAAAATAATATATGCTCGCACAACCAAGTATAGGAACTCAACGATACCATATTTGGCCCGTGTTCTAAGTGACAGAGACAATGTTAGGCGTGAAACCTATGACTTGCTTTGTTGTTAATAACATAATTTTGGCCCTTGTTATTTCCCCCTTACACTCTCTTATTTGTACTCTATAGTGAACAACCTTCTTAAACATACTTAGCTGCTTAAAATTATTATCATTGGCTTACATTTTTATTCTTTATTCTATTCCTTCTTTGTACATCTACTGGGTCCGACTATATTATCACTATGATTATTAAAAATTGTCCCGTCATTAACCATCATGTAACATTAGTTTTGTGGTTGTTCTTTGTTCGGCACTATTTAACTGACAATCTTGTTTGTTATTGCCACTATCACCATCTTAAAAATTTTGTATTATGCATGATTCCTCACACTACCACTACAAACAACCGCATTAGTACTGACAATAAAAAAACAACCTGAAATGTTTATCTTATGATTGCTTAGTGTTGTTCAATCAAATTAACTGATCATCTTGGCTATAAACATTTTTTAAGAACATCTCATAATTTCCCGTATGATTATAGCTGTTACTGTTCACCACGCATACACATATCGTAGCTTCCACTAACCAATACTGAAATATTTTTTTCATTATTTGTGTTGATCTTCTTTTTTACTCGGTATTTTTATTTGCATTTTTTTTGGTTATTTCTGTTTCTTTTTTTGTTTTTGTTTTATTTTTTTTTATATATCTTATTTTTTTATAATACTCCTTTTAAATGTACGATGAAATTAGATGCAATATTGTAGATATGTGCTGAAAATTCCACACTGTACCACAAGTACTGTTTCTGGAATAAAGCGAAATTGTTATGTTATGTTAAATTTGACTGGTAATAATACCTTCCATATCTCTGATATTTGCGTTGGGTCACTTCTGTTGTATGTGTTGGGCGTAGACGGGATGATCCTGATGACGTAACTCAGAGACAAGCTCTGCAGGCTAAAGAACCTGGTGGACTCAATTAAACGAAATAATATAATTTACAAAATACCTTGCAATGACTGTGAGTTAGGTCAACTACATTGGTCAAACTAGTAGATCGCGAGTAGGGAGATTATCAAAACAGAAGAATTTAGCTAAGGTTAGAAGGATTGACCCCACGAAAATAAGTAATTTAGAAAAAACTCAGCAATCGCACTGCATGCATTAACACACAACCACACAATACGGTGAGACGGAGTTAAAATTCTAAAAAGCAATATAGGTAGGTGGAGAGAGAAGTTGGCTATTGAATCCTGGATCGTCCCGTCTACACCCAACACATACAACAGAAGTGACCCAACGCAAATATCAGAGATATGGAAGATATTATTACCAGTCAAATTAGAGGATAATAAATAATATTAAAATGTATTTCAATTCACACTCACAACATTCTGACAAGTTGTTTATTTTACTATAAAAACATTTTATTTCCCATCTTATTGACTAAAAACACTCGTCCTATTTCCCATCCTGTTTTAATTTATTGATAACACTAATATTATTTTCGAATGTATTTTATCTTCCATAATAGATTGGCTAACAACACTCGTCTTAATTCTCACTAAGATTTGTTCCGAATGTACTTTATCTTCCATTCTGTTTCACGCAAGTCTTATATTGATTTTATTCAAATGTGTTACCAGTAATGTATATAAACGAAGCACTAAAGTTATGGGAGTACCTTGATATGATTATGAGATGTATTAATTTGTGCTGGAAACGTCATTAATAAATATGACTGTATAACACTGTGTGACTTTATCAAAATAAAATTGTATCCATAATGGAATTATGCTCTACCACAGTGCCCAAGTTTGACACGTATAGTTTGGGGCTCTTCATCAGTATGTACCCACGCGTGCTACTGGAGAGTCCCAGACTAGGCTGACGAAACACCTGTCCAGTACTCCCAGCTTGTTTTCCAATGGTTCGCTAACTGATGTCAGGTCATGATGAAATCCAAATAAATCACCTTCTCATATATACGTAGTTTGTTGATTGATGATTACAAATTCAGAAAATGTTACATAAAAAGATTTAATTAACTTAGGACATTAGAATTTCTAACTAAACAAACTGAATACCTAGTTGGCTAATTGTTTCACAATGTGCAGTGTGCTACTGACATGATGTATAAGTAGTATAGATATGGAGATATAAATATGTATATTAATTGCTAGGATATTTGAATAGCGGAGATATGGATTTAATGAACGATGCATGTGAAACAACATGGAGAGCATGCAAAGAAGCAAAATATCGAAGATCTGTGCGAATTTCGACTTTAGTATACAGTAGACGTATTTTGCTTATATCTGCGTATTGAGTTGCTAATAAATAATTCCGTTACCGAATACTCTTGTCTTTTGGCGTTACAACAGTACCTATAGACATTTAATGAATACATAGAGATAATAAATCTAATTTTACTCACCTCAGATAATGGTGATTTACAGCCTTCCTTTGAGACACTATGTGAATGAAAAAATATTGGAGACTTATCACCTGAAAAGAAAAACACAATTTAAGAGAACATTACCATGAATACAAAGACTATTCAAAGTTCAATACAGATGTTCATTGATAAATTAAATAGAGTGACAATACTTAGGAGCTTGAATATATAGTAATAACATGATAACAATGGTAAAAGAAACCTTTATACTATAAGTAGTTGAACGTCAGTCAGCTACAAGGAGTAACTGCATGGCAAATTTATATAGCACCTTAACTATCGAGTTTTTCAGTTTCAAGTATTGGTTTGCAGGGATTCGATTGACTGGTTATGATGAAATCTTGTAACCAATCAATCAAATCCCTACAAACCAATACTTGAATATCAATGAGATGTTCACTATCGACTGGTCCTATTCAGGTGGGTAGTTGGTTACCTAGGGTTCTAGTGGGCAATCATGACAAGTAGAGTACAGCAGGTCGGGTGTGAGGATAAATACTCACCAGTGATGACGCTTCCTAGCGGTCTCGCTATGTCGTGAATTTGCAGAAGTTGGAATTCATGAGCTGGCCAATGGATCAGGTCCCAGTGGCTTAATGGTCTATGCATTCGCCTTATAAACAGAAGGTCCTGGTTACTGTTGAAGAGTTCCAAGCTAGGCTGACGACACAGCTATCCGGTACTCCCAGATTTTTCGGTTTCTTTTGTTACGTCATTTAACCATACAGGATTGTTTATCCATCAATATACTTGCTGCAAAGGTCTGTATTTCCCTTCTCAAGTGGAGTAGGATTTAATTTAACAATGTATCATTTGTCCGTCTGTCAAAAGAAACAAGACACGAACATGATGCTATATACTGCTAACTGAGTGATCTAAACATCGAAAGGTTGTCTTTCTCGTTTTAGGCCAAGCTCATTAACAGTGCCCTTAGCCTGACTCATCTCAGAGAGCTGAATCAGTCCAAACCATCCGTCTGGTATTTAGATCACTTCTATCTGGTCACTAAGCAGTACTGATTTATATATGAGTTGTGTCCAACTACTACTCATGCTTATCAGTCAGTCGTATACAGCGTCACCCATTTAAAATTACTTTATTGATTTCCATCTGTAGTAGTCAACAGATCATACATATTGTGATCTGAATAACTTTACTTCCCAAAGGAAACTGGTGAAATTTCAGTACTTTTCAAGTATTGGTTTTGTTGGGGTTTTTGTGTTTGATTGCATGGAGGATTTCATCATGAGCTGACATCAGTTAGAAAACCACTGGAAAACCTGGGACAGCTGTTTCGTCAACCTAGTTTGGGACACTTCATCAGTACGCACCCACCGGAGTTCGAACCCACCTCGAACTGTGTAAGTTGCATATTGTTAATTTGAGTTATAGCTACTATTTAAACGAAAATTAACAACAACAAAAATACGGAACTGCATATCAGATATGTTTATTTTATATAAGTGACGATTATACAGGACGATTAACTGGATTAAATTGCCTGTACGATCTACTGCTCGTAATCATTCAAAAGTAGACACACAATTTTGTAAGTCGTTTTATATTTTGTGCTATTTCTACCAATTTTTTGTGTAGTAGAAATTTTCATATATCCATGATTGACGTTGTATTATTCTTATTGTATTTGTTTAGTATTGATTTGTTGGACAAAGATTCAGTGATTAGTGGCTATATATATATGCACGAAAAATAATAGTGTAAATATGGAAATAAGAACAAATAGTTAAAAAAGAAGAGATTCTTTTCGCTGAAGTATACGTTCTTATTTCTTAATCTCTCTAATCGCTTTGCATTACCCTCTGGAACATTTACTGTCGGTGGTTTAGCAGTAGAATCCATACCAATCACGAACTCGGTCCGGAATTCGATCCTCGGAAGACGTACACTTAAACCTCAGCTGATAGTAAACCTTGTAAAGAGGGAAGGTTAGGCGTGAGGCTAGCAACCTGATCCTGTTAAAGCAACACCACTACTACTCAAACTTCAAAGCTTAGGCTTGAAGCCCTGTTTTCCAAACGGGTTGGAAGAAACCCTTTGGAACTATACCTCTTTCCTGTCCCCATTGACATTCTACGTTACATTGCAATTAAGATAGTTAAGTTTAGTTGAATTTTTGTCTAGATTTTTCCATCGATTGATTGAACCGAAGTGCTCGGTCTCATGTTGACATGTCGGCTTCCAGTGCAGATGCTTCGACGATGTCTGGACATTTAATTAGTATTTAATTTGTGGACGGTGACTAGCAGTGGAATCCAGGACGCGCATTTCATCCTATTTGGGACTCGTTAGCTGGATGTGTCTGTATTTCTCAGTGAGTGATGGTATTCCCACCGAAGCTCGAACCCAGTGGCCATAGTTTCAAACGCCAAAGCGTTATCCACTAGACCACTTGGGCCACGACGGGAAAATCTAGAAAACAAATTAAATTAAATTAATATGACCCGTTGCACAAGAGGTGGCTCTCGCGGAGAAATGCAGGTACACCCAGATGACGAGTCCCAAATAGGAAGAAATGCTCATCCTGGATTCCACTGCTAGTCACCATCCACAAATTAAATCCTAAGATAGTTAAGCTTCTCTTCAGACAACTGTTCTTCGACATGTCATCTACATAGGGTAGCTGAGATGTGGTAACATCTCTGACTGCAGCACTGGGTGACGCGCGTTTGAATCTCCTTAGAAGGGACATGAGTTCCTTTAAGATTGCAGATACACCGCGCCGACTTGTGAATGCCAACTAGCACGAAACCATCTAATATCAGTAAATCAGTGTTCAACGTGATGACCAGCTACCCTAGAATGGTGGCCACATTGCAAACAAACTTGACTGACAGGATTCAGTCTGCACCAAAGATACGATCAGATACATTATACTAGTTACAGACTAGTGTCCAATCAAAGTGGAGTATTATCTTAGAACCGTAACTTTTAACATATGAATTGTTTATTCGAAATCTACTTCACCTATTGAGGTTTTAAGAAACAGGAAAGTTTTAGACATGACTGACTGACTGGCTGGCTGGCTGATAATCAGTTGTTAAGATATATGAAATAAATATTTCAGAGATTTAATTCTCCTAGACAAAACCATGAAATAGGCAGCAATTTTAACATAATAGCACACGATCGATATTGATCTACACAAAAACACATTCTTTTGAACACTTCCTATCACATAGAATAAACAGTTTAACTTATTCAAGTTAATTAAAACTATTAGAATCAATCTGTTTAATTTAAGTAAAACTAAAATTTATAAAAAAAAACCAAAACGTTAGGGCTTGTGTAATAGTAGAAATGACACTAAAAAAATATAAGTGAACATTGTTATAAAAGTACAGACCAAGAGTAAAAAACTGAATATTATTAATAAATTTCTAAAGATGAAATAAATTTGTCAGAATCAATGATAAAACTTGTATATATATTCAATAAAAATATAAATATATTTAACCATTTACTAAGAAGAATACTGCTAAATCAACATTCATGATACATAGATAATACAAACATACGTATACACATGCATTACACTCAATATTTAAACAATATTCAAAGTACAATAGTAGTATTGTTTAATAAAAACAATGATAATATGTATCAATACAATAAACACGTTGGTGGGTTTTTTTTAATATTTGTTTTAATAAGAACTATAAACACATGAAATGATTGTTAAACTAAGTACTTTTTACAGTCATTGTTTTTCTTTAAAACTGTTCTCTAGCAATTCTATAAAATACATGGAATTAATTATGAAGATTTAAATATTACTCAGCTAATTAACAATATATTATTATATTATTTATTTCCTTGGGTTCCGCGAGTGGAACATAACACTTCAGCACTACATCTCCACACCATTCTATGTGACCTGCAGTCCTCTTCATCTAACCTCACAATTGTCCACAAGCTTTTATCTCTCCTTCATGTCACCCTCGGAGGCTCAACTCGTCATTTCCCATTCGTGTTCCATTCGACCGATAGCTTGGTGCAAGATGTCACCTAACAGTCTCCTCAACAGAATGTGTTCGATTCACATCTCCATTTTCTTCGAAATATTTGTTGAGCATTAGGTTCTTGAATGATTTGTTGCCACAATTTCCCGTGACTGATTCTTTCTGTCCACCTGATGTTCAATATAGAACGAAGGCAGATGTTATTACAATTCTGAAACTGGCTGTTGAAAATGCTTTCCGTGACGTGTACACCAAGTTTCTGACCCATATAGAAGAAATGACTAACTTAATATTGGGGTTAGAGATCCTAAATTTGTTCTTTCTGCTGAGTACTTCAGATTTCCAGACTGATTTCAGAGTGACGAAGGTCTGTCTTTCCTTTCCGATTCTTGTTTTGACATCCTTATCCTACCACAACGTGTAGTTGAAATGATGCTTCCTAGAGATAAATGAAGGCAGTGACCTCTTTCAAATTCATTCCGTGGATAATGATTGGTGCTTGTTGTTGTTGGTTGGTTAGTTAGTTATTTTTATCACCTCCGAGTTCTCCGTGTTTACTTGAAGTCCTGTCTTTGCTGCTTCTTCTGCCAACTTGTTGGTTTTTGTCTGTAAGTCTTCGAATTTATGTAACAGACAAATCGTTCACAAAGTCCAGATCTCCTAAAGTCTGTGACAGTATTCAGTCTTGTTTTACTTTTGTTTTTTAACCCCAAAGGACTAGCTGAGTTTTTCGTTGTGGATCACTTGACTTGTGGTACTGTTATCACTGTCTGTATTACTCATGGACACTTTTAGCAAGTTCACAGAAGAAGTTGATAAGAATATTCAAATTTATAAATGAAAACTGACGAAACTACAATTTAACGAAAATTCACCCAATGAAATTTTGTTGTAGAAACTGTTTAAAATCACAAAATTGACTTTTAACACCCTAAAATCTCTACTGATCATTTTTTATAATTGATTGATCAGAAGGTGAAACCAATAAGGGGCACAGTCATTTAATCAATAGTAAACGGTTATATTGTAGAAAACAATTACTTTTAAGTTTGGTCACGAATTACCACTAGTTACACAATCATTGAAAACCAGGGAGTACTAGATGGCCCTACTTCGGAACTCTTGAGCAGTAGGCATCCGTGACTCCATCGGGGATTAAACTCAAGACATTCAGGTCATGAGGCCATTCAGTTGACCATTTAGCCACTGGGACGGGTACCGGTGGCCTATGAATTCTCACTGCTGCCAATTTCAGATATGCAGTGCAACCTCCAGTCTGTATCATCAGTAAGTATCTGTCTTCAAACCCAAATTGGTAAACCCGACTAGTCACGACTTCTTACTAGAGCTACAGACAACTTTATCCTGTAGTCAGTTATCTGTGAGCATTAGCATTTGAGAAAAAAAAAAACTCATTCAAAATCATAGAAGACAAAAAGGAGAGGAGAATTCGCTTTATCTACTTCGTCGACTGGTCAAGTTTGTAATGTGGTCGTCAAGCTAACAGACCTACTATCATAGAGCACTTAGAATTGGTGCTAGCTAAGTGGATGGAGGCAATCGACAGGAAGTATCTAAGTGACAGTGAAGTTTTATTTGAAGCTGTTTCATACAAATACGATGGTATCTCATTCATCATTCATGAGATATACTGACAAAAAATTAAACTTTTCTTTTGCAGAACAAGATGAATTAGTTCAGTCATCTTGACCACTGGTGTGAATTACGAATTTCATCTCACCCTCTAATCTACTGTTTATCCTTTGTCAGACCTACGAATGACACTATGAAAGGAAAGATAGTTGTGTTGGATTAGCAACTGTTGGTCCACTGTGACTTTCTGATGATAGATAGGTCTGTGAGACTATGTGACACAATACTTGTTTTATTGTTGCACTATCAAAATTAATACTGAGTGGAACTCTCTTTTGAATACAGTTAGTGCAAATATCTGTATACCCATTCTATTAAACTCTCCAGTTTTTTCCATATTAATTTGTTCATTAGATGTATCCCACAGTGAGTGAAACAGTATTATTTACTGGATGACGTTTCAAACACAATTTATTGTTCATAATCATATCATTTTTTTAGGGCTATATTAGTTTATGTGTCGTAGTTTTAGTGTGCATGCTGTACTACGTGTGTGTTTAAACAAATAGTGTAATAAGAATAAGTAAACGATTACTTTAGCATAGTTTAAAACTTTCCTAGAGTGTATATTCACAACTTCATGAACTAAGGATCTAAAGACCATTGTGAATCCTAACTACATGATTACCAGATAAAAACTCTACATTTCAGGATTTTTCAATTTTTGAAATTCTTAAATAATTAACTCCTACAGTTATATAATAACCAAATTTTCATCTGTCAACTATCTAAACAACGTTTTTATAATTTAATTCAATTAAGATTTTCTCGTCGATTGATTGGACCGAAGTGCTTAGTCTCAGGTTGACATGTCGGCCTCTTGTGCAGATACTTCGACGATGTGTGGTCATGAAACTTGAAGCCAACTGGTGGAGAGTGACTAGCAGTGGAGTCCATGATAACGCGCATTTCATTCTATTTGGGACTCGTCATCTGGATGTACCTGCATTCCCCAGTGAGTGATGGTGTTCCCGCCGAGGCTCGAACCCAGTGGCCATAGTTTCAAGCGCCAACGCTTTATCCACTAGATCACTTGGGCTGGGAGAGTCACTTCTTGTGCAACGGGTCTTATTAATTCAATTTACATTTTGCCGTTGATTGATTGGACTAAAGTGCTCCGTCTCAGGTACATCCAGATGACGAGTCCCAGGTAGGATGAAATGCGTATCCTGGATTCCACTGTTAGTCACCGTTCGCAAATGGACTTTAACGTTTATATATGTTTGTTTAAACTTCTAACTAGTAGGGATGTTTGCCAAACTTTTCAATGTTTATATAGAGTTAAACCATGCAGTAATAAGTATAAATAATATCTATGATAAAAATAATTTGTGGAGTTGAATACGGATATTGTAGTGAACGTTTTACCTGTCTTAGTAATAAAGTCTTTTATGGTTAGTTCTTTTTATAAGTTTTGATAAAGGAATAACAGTAAATATCATAGAATGAAGCGGATTCACTTGATTTCGTGTTCTCTAAATCTTCTACATACACACACACACACACACACCAAGTACAGAATTTACGTACAATCTTATGCTTTAAGGTATCATTGTCAATTGCAAATAATTTGAGATAGTTCAATTGCAAAATTAACATAAAATTCCTGACCGCTTAAGAAACGAACTGTACTAATGATATACTACACTATACCAGCCTTACTAAACTCGATATTGCCTAATTACCTAATTAGTCATTACATACTACTTGACCCCTGCAAATACTCATAACAAAACACAAATCAAAAAGACCCGGTTATTTAGAAATATGATAGGATGAACAACATATGTAAAAATGTTAAGGTTATTTTTATATTTTAGAATATTTTAGAACTTATCCCGCTAGTGTAGCTAAACTAAGAACTCAGAGTCTGTAAGTGTTAATAGCCCAATGAAGAATTGTGAAATGGACTCCCAGTTTGGTTAGAGGTATACGTGTCAAACTTGGGCACTGTTGTAGAGCATAATTCCATTATGGATACAATTTTATTTTGATAAAGTCACACAGTGTTATACAGTCATATTTATTAATGACGTTTCCAGCACAAATTAATACATCTCATAATCATATCAAGGTACTCCCATAACTTTAGTGCTTCGTTTATATACATTACTGGTAACACATTTGAATAAAATCAATATAAGACTTGCGTGAAACAGAATGGAAGATAAAGTACATTCGGAACAAATCTTAGTGAGAATTAAGACGAGTGTTGTTAGCCAATCTATTATGGAAGATAAAATACATTCGGAAATAATATTAGTGTTATCAATAAATTAAAACAGGATGGGAAATAGGACGAGTGTTTTTAGTCAATAAGATGGGAAATAAAATGTTTTTATAGTAAAATAAACAACTTGTCAGAATGTTGTGAATGTGAATTGAAATACATTTTAATATTATTTATTATCCTCTAATTTGACTGGTAATAATATCTTCCATATCTCTGATATTTGCGTTGGGTCACTTCTGTTGTATGTGTTGGGTGTAGACGGGACGATCCAGGATTCAATAGCCAACTTCTCTCTCCACCTACCTATATTGCTTTTTAGAATTTTAACTCCGTCTCACCGTATTGTGTGGTTGTGTGTTAATGCATGCAGTGCGATTGCTGAGTTTTTTCTAAATTACTTATTTTCGTGGGGTCAATCCTTCTAACCTTAGCTAAATTCTTCTGTTTTGATAATCTCCCTACTCGCGATCTACTAGTTTGACCAATGTAGTTGACCTAACTCACAGTCATTGCAAGGTATTTTGTAAATTATATTATTTCGTTTAATTGAGTCCACCAGGTTCTTTAGCCTGCAGAGGTTGTCATCAGTAAGTGGTGTGTGCGTACTGTCGAAGAGTCCCGAACTAGGCTGAAGGAACAGTTGTCCAGTGCTCCCAAGTTTTCCAATGGTTCTCCAACCAATGTCAGCTCATGATGAAATCCTGTAACAAATTCTTAACTTGATGTGGGTATGCGGAAGATTAAGATCATACGAAATAGAATAAATACAATTAATCCAGTGATATTTGTGTTTCTCATCTCACAGTACAGCATGTGAAACAAAATTTATATTGTAACATTTTATACCACAAAATTTGAATTGAACATTAAGTGAACATCCAACGCGACCCCTGTGTAAACAGTATGCAATTTAAATGACATGGAGCATTAAATGTTCTCAAGTCTACACATAATTCTGAAACAACTCAACCCTTGATAGATCTTGAACTAACTATCTCACTTGTTTGTGGTCATCAGTGAGTTGCATCACACAGACTGGGCAAACATTTTCTTTTCGGACTTCTAATATATGCATCAAACACTTTTGAAATAATTAGATTCACCACTGAATTCATGGTTGATTTCAGTGTAACTGTCTAATTCTACAACCTCGTTGAAATCTCTGGATTAAATGTGCCAGATATAGAAAGTCAATCTTATTCGATTAACTAATTTCTCAAGTACGTATTCATTAAATAGAGTTTAATTTGAAGAAGGTAGTTCCTCATGGCTGTTAAAAGTTCAAGTATATATATAATGTGTAACACACTACTGAATAAACCATATGAGATCGTCTTTATTTAACAGACTGACCTTATACATAATATAATGTTAAATAAAGTTGAAAAGCAAACCCAGATCACAACACCATAAGAATTCTGAAGTAATTAATATTTAGTTTTAGATGAAATCCTCTTTAAAATAAAAGTTAACTATCATAGATTATCGATTTCAACTTAAGACAATGTAAAGCAGAAAAAAATAATAAAATCATCGGCAGTACGCACCCACCACAGGCTGTTCGAACCCACGACCTTCCAGTTACAAGGCGAGCTCGTATACCATTCAGCCACTGGGACCCGAGCCTGTCTTGTAACTGGAAGGTCTTGGGTTCGAACTCCAGTGGGTGCGTGCTGCCGATGATTCCCAAAACCAGTACTCCCTGGTTTTCAATGGTTCTCTAACTGATATTAATCCGTGATCAACACGTAAAAACAATACTAACCATTACAAACCAAAATAAAGAAAATAATAAAAATAAAAACAACGACTCAAATTTGATTCCTTGAAAATTACACACGATGATGTGTGAGTTCATCACCACAGTTTTCTTTGGGGAAACCAAAAGTATTCAAACCACACACACACATGTGACTAACTTAACAACCCACGGTGAAATAAAAAAAATACGCATAATTGTACTGATTAGTTGGAAAACAATTCAACCTACTAGATTTATTATGATTTTTGATAGAAGGAACCTCAGTTACACAGGTGTGATCACCAATTACAAATAATTTCAATACTTTTCCAGTGTGTTTGATAAATTGTTGAGCAAATACAGGATATGTAAGTGAATCTAAACCTGAGTTGTTGAAAACCACAGCCATCTAAATATATAAAGTACCAAAATATAAAGAGGAAAAATGTCTTGGATTAACACAGAAGTAGACATGTAGTGAATATATATGAATGAATGGTAACAAAAAAGGAAAGTGTACAATAACATTTTATAAGCTATCTAAATAGTTGAACTGTCTACCTATCTTAGATTAATTATACCTTTTAAGTATAACTGATGGGTAGGTGCTGTTCTCAATTATGTTGATTGTTACACAGAAGGGATGAGATTAGTAATCTAAAAGAAATCATAGATGCGTCGGTAGCACAGTGGTTAGGACTCTCGCCGACTATGCGTATGGTCCGAGGTTCGATCCCCTGCCGACGCACACCTGATATCTATGGTCAGCCTGCAAAATTTGGGCCAGCGATATCCATGCTGAAAATTCCATACTTGAACACAAAATACAGTGTGGAATCAAGCTGTAATCAAAAAATAAATAATAATGTTAACATACTTTCAATCGACTTGAATTATGTGATTTCAATGCCCTAGATTCTTAAGCAGTTAGGTGAAACATTGGTACATTCATCATCAGATATGAACTCCTGAGGTCACTATTGTGTACCACTGTGCTATCTAAAGTAACGACAAAGCGCACGTGAAGTATTTGGTACGATTCAATGCCTAGTTTGAATCTGTTAACTCTTTTTGTATACATTGTTTATTGATATGTACTGTACTACAGACTGAGGTATGACACAAAATTACCCTGCCAACCTAGTACAATCAGTCTAAAGTATTCTTTTTCGTAGCAACAATTCAAATAATAAACTTACTACTTGAAGTGGGGAATCGATTACTTCAGAAAATAAGCGTTCATTACAGTTTTTATGACTTTTTTATGCAAATTAAGAGATCCTTTAAGCTAATTCATCCGAATAGCATCTACCAAGCCATTATGATAAAGTTCCTTTTAAGTTATCTATACTATTGTTGATTTGCTGGAAACAAAATCATTTTGAAAATTGAGACATATTTGAGGCCGAAAAATGATTTTTCACGTGCACTAAGTGTGATTCCAAAGGAGTATACCAAAAATAAACCAGTAAATAAGCTAATAAAACGACTAGATTTTACTCAAAACTCTAGGGTAGTAGGTTAAGTATGTTTTTCCACAAGTCCTCAAATCATGTAGGTAGGCTAGTACACATAAAACAGTACAATAAGCCATGAAGACTGAACCGAAAGTATGAATTAACAGAAACTCACGAAGAAACTGCGATGTTCGATAATATAACGTAAAGAAAAATAAGCTTACCTTGTGTACACTGTCTTCTCCGTGGGCCATTAATGACTTGCAAACTGTAAGCAAAAGTAGAAACTGAAAATTTATGATGAATTAAAGCTGTTCTATAACTAATCAATAATTAGGGTTGGAGAATAGTACACAGTGAACTCTATAAGACCAGTTAAACTGAGGTCAACAAAAGATTCACTTCATCCGAACATAATTCAAAAAATTGAAAGCAGTAAAAATCTTATTAATCACGCTTAGATTCATATTACGACATATTAAATCAAACCAGCTATTTACAAGCACAAAAGCAACTAACTTTAGTGGAACGAACTGACTATATATATTGCCGACTTCTTCCACTTAAATGGCTAATGATTGATGAGTGTTTATCGAAATAACCCAACTGAAACATGTGACAGAAGTTCTAACGACTTGTAGACATATGTTTCATTGTCATCTTTGAGTGCTTTTTCGAACTTCTGAAATAATATTTAGTAAAAATTTCTAATCTCAATCCACTTACTTCAGCCTGAACAAATGTGCATAATTACCAGTCCTCACATAAAATGGCTACGATACTGTTATGTGAAAACATTTTCCGGTTTACTGTATTCTAGCTGAATACACATTCTCCCGCCAGACGATATAAAGAAATATGAACGCGTATCCAGAAATGTTGATAATTCTACTTGCTAATACACCTCGCCTAGCTAGAATCTGAACACACTATTCAGTAATGAGCTTATTAACTTATGTCAATAATTGCAACGAAGTCTGACATTGAGGGACATATGTCTGTCTGGATTCAGCATAGAACTTGGCACCGAAGTGCAGCAGTTCGAGTTGCCACCTTCCAAATAGCACACAAAGGTAGACAAGAAGATGAGTGAAGAAAATCAATAGAGTTTGACAAGTGTAAGAGTGAAACAGAATGGTTAATGGTAGAAAGGAATATGAAAGATTACAGAGACTGAATACATCTGCGCCAATGACAACGATTTTGAGCCATGTCACTTATTGTCTCCAGTCATTGATTCCTAGAGTCCCAAGGGCACCAACCCGGAATTCTGCATCTCCCTATCTGACTCAGTTTAACTGTCAAGGATTTCATGGATTGATGCTATGTTTTTGTTTGGCCACCACTTACTCTTTTCCAACCTGCACTTATATCAGCTAGTAATGCCCGTCGGGAGAGGCGATGGTTAGGCAAGCGCAGCAAATGACCTAGCTATCTCAATCTATGTTACTTTATAGCCTCTTCGATTGATTTCCCCTCTTTGTCCAATACTCTAACGTCAACATTACTTACCTTATTAAACCACCTAACGTGAGAAAGAGATTGCAGACATCTATGATCAGAAAACACTCAACCTTTTCATGTCTTCAACTCGTATTGGCCATGTTTCAGAGCCATAGAGAAGGACGGAGCGAAATGCTGAGCAGTACACACATCTCTTGGTTGATAGCCGGACATATGTCTAGACTACTGTAATATACAGCACTTATGAATACGAGTTAATTTGCAAATTAACTATCCATCTCAGAGAACCCAACCACATCAAAACCATCCACCTGAGCTACAAATATTCGCCATCATATCTATATAGGACTTTTCCATGAATTTTTCGTGTATTCACCCAGACTGGTCTTATTGAGAGGGTAGACTAACATTAGTATTAGCATTATGAATCAACTGTAGAAAAGCATCACTTACTTATGGGATAAGAAATATCAGCATTAAGCAATGTGGTTGGATCATTTTGCGATAAGATGCAGAAGTTCGGAACAAATATTCGGTTATCTAAAAGGACATGAAATTAAACTCAAAGTAATAGAAATGATACTTTTCAATAAACCAGACATTTACAGAAGACAGAATTTACTAGGTGTGATAGAAGACTTAAATCGTATTGGCGCTAAGTTTCAAAGGAAAAAAATTACAGCTAGGTTAAGAAAAACGCTGATTCTCTGCAGTGGTGTGACTTGGTTTATTAGAGTCACCTTGGGAGAGTTAACCCACACAACCATATGTGAAGGGATATTAAAAACTGATGTGAAGGTAAAACGTACGATACATACTCTTCATTATGAAACTTACCAACGCAAAAGTACAGCACCAATAAGAAGCCCAGAGTTTAAAATGAAGTGACCAGATATGAAGTTATTAAGTAAAAAGCGCACTTTAATTACCTTAAAATCCAGGCGAAAATAAATGCCAAGTAGAGTTTAGCCCCCATTTCCGACTTTCAGTAATAACACCCAGTTTGAGGAATAGCGATTTACGTGAACAGAGGAGCGTCAAAAGAAGCCTGCTATTTTTTAACGCATTCGGAACAACATTCAATAAGACTTTTTCTTGAGTTTTCCCCTGCGATGTTTTTGGCAACAATACCAACAAAACGTTTTAAAGTTGAATTTTAATATCAATTTCGTGCAATGAATTCCAAAAAACCAAACAACATTATATGAAAAATAAAAGGATAAAACAATAAAAGATCTGAATGTAAGAAGGATAATAGTCCATACTAATCTTGCCAACGTAACTGGATATGGATTAACAAGCTAGGTTAATCGTAAGCAAGTTTTTTTACACACAGAGAGGGCATTATTTTACCGACGTCTACCACAGCATATTTTAGTATGGGGCCTTAACAGTTATTCACATATGGTCTTGAATGTTGTCTGATATCAGTTTTACAGCCCAAGTTGATAATTCATTTTGCTTCTGGGCACAAAACTTTCTGCTCGAAATCACATTATCCGTATATCTCAGGAAGAAAAGTATCATCAAATTGCATAGTTAGACATACTTTTGTGTTTGAGACAAGATTGCTAGATAAGACAGTCGTTTTATTAGAAGTTCACGTCGATAAGGTATTACTAAAACTGTTTAATGTTTCTGTTCGTTAAAATATAAAAGATTTTTGGTTGAATGCTCACTCAAATGTACAGCTGATAAAATTTAAACTGGAATACACGTTGGAAACAGATGCCGTATGTAGATTTTTAGCCGCTGCCGAAGAATGATTACACCCTTCCTAAGAAAGATGTCAAGGCATCTTTTTATTTTTCACACAGATCGGAGGGAAATGATTTATTGCGATGAAATGTGTGCTCATATTTTTCAATGAATGCTCGGAAAATACAAAATATTCAAGATAAGCAGAGTATCTTGTTAACGCTATTCAAATTTATTAAAGGGCTACATGTTTAAAATGTCAGTTTAGAATAAATAAAAACAATTTTCAATAAAACAGGCATTTACAATACTTACTTATGTTTAATGCATCTAGAATAGCTCTTAGTAAACGAAACTGATCAAACCGTGTCAGCAAGCGCTTAAGGGAATGTGGTGGATCAATGCAGATTATATCAGGGTTAGTTTCTACGTAGTTCTGAGCAAAATTAAAGGTGATCACAGTAAGTTGTTCGAACAACTTACTGTGAAATTTTCCACTATTTGTCTGCCTAGAGTGCTGGTATCACACCTTAAGAATTCAGGTATTTTGTGTAAGACTGCGTCGAACTGTCCTTGTTCTGATATGTTTATTAATGGATCTATCTAAAAGGCATTAGAAATTAAAAAAATTTAAAGGAAAAATACAATAACCTTTTTGAACTGAACAGCATCCCTGGAGCTCAAATAAAATAACAGATATTTAGTTACCTCTTTGAATTCAAAAGATAATCCAGCCCAATGCTGCGCACCTTCGCGTCACTCATCAAAACCCCAACGACCTTCATTTCAAAATATTTCGAAATAAACATCCAATTGAGATTCAGTACGTAAACATTATAACGCTAGTTTCAAGGTAAACGGTTTACAATATGCAGTTTGCTTTTATTACGTTTGTATGATTCTGATGATCATTAGTCATCAGATTAATGATAATGTGGAACAGTTTCACATGGAACAAGACAGTGCATCGGTGGCACAGTGGTAAGGACGTTCGTCGACCATGGACATGTCCCGCGGTTTGATCCCCGGGCGAAGCACATATGATATCAATGTTCGGCCCGATAAACATTTGCCATCGGTATCATATGCTGAAAAATCCATAGCTGTGCCAAAATACTGTGTGGAAACAAGCTATTATAAGATAAAAGAAAATATAAATCCTAAACACGTTACATTCCAAACGCTGAATATTTAAAAAAAATGTTGTCAAAATGATGTAATGCGTCTGCCACCAAGGTACAAATGATCTTAAATATATTTCAGCTTCATATAGTGACAAAGGAAGAATTCTGCATGATTAAAAATTAATGACTTCATATTTCTTAGATAATCTCATTCACCCAATTTTGTGTTGGTAACTTCTTGTCTTAGAGCCTTTTTCGATAAACATTTTCTAAATTTTCTACTTTATAATACTAATCCGGATAAATCGTGATATTTCACGAATTCTCAAAAGTCATATATGAGTTAAGATAGTCCTTCAACAGCATATATTTAATTCTTTAATAAACTTATCAGTGGCAGCTTGAGATGATTTGGAAGTAAGTAAGTGATGCATACTCCGAATAATTAATGCGCAGAGGAACAAAATATCCACGAAACCCGACAGTAATCAAATCAAATCGCCACTTTCACCAATAATAAATAGAAGAGTGAGGACAGAGAACCTCAAATAGGGTTTAGAGAATGCTTCGTGATGCAAATCTAAGGAAACTTTCTCCACTGATCTAGAGCTCAGATGTTATAGTGGAGGGGAAATTCTTGGGAACTGCCTTTCTAAATGCCTCAGGAAGATATTTAAAGCAGACACCCAGCGAAACATGTTCCCAACTAGGCAGTTTTGTCCAATGAAGCCTTCAGGACGAGATGCCGCTTTTGGACGTGTTTTTACTAGTTTCTTTGTTCCTGTAGAGCAAAGTACATCGGCCGTATTCAATTTAAGGTCCACATACGTAGTCTCGAAGTCTGTCCAACCAAGGGAGCCAGAGGACATAAGCACACCGCTTGTAGTTCTATCTCCAGACACATTGACAACATGTGAAAGCAGGTGTTCCTCAATGATTTTCATATGTAACACGCAAAATGACGTCAGATGAGACAACTAAAAATATTTAGATCGCTGGAAATCCGGGATCTGAAACTTAACCTCTGCGTTTAAGAGTTCTACATACATTCGGTCCAATACCTTGTGAAACACGAACGTATTTTATATAAATCTTCAGAACGTAAAGCATTATCTTAGAATCACCCTGTAATCCGTTAGGAAAACCACCAAATATTCCTACTGAATTTGTGCCAAACTTTTGCCATCTGCCGACAAGAACTCCGTAAAAACAGGCTTAAATCAACCAGGAAATATACCTCATTAATTACGTCATCCCGAATTTAGCACGCTTTGTTCTTAACTTCTAAGAAATAAACGGTTAGCCCACTTGTACAGATTCGAAACCACTTCCAGTTGGCTTCAGATAGATATAACACTCGCGAGTGATGTGTGGCTCTCAATCCGACTAGACCTGAGTGCTAGCCACAATACTGGCCCACCTAGCCTGGTGGTCAGGCTGCGCCTAATAATAATAATAATCTTTCCTTCACGTTCCCAGTGGAACATAGGGCCTCAGGCTAGTGGCTTGAAGTTTCTGTAGCAATGTTTATTTTACAGGATGGGGTTGCTAGCCTCATGCCCAACCTTTCCTCTTCACTAGGACTATTTCTGGCTTAGTGAAGTAAAGGAGTGAGTCGGCCGGGGATCTAACCCCGGACCATGTGCATGGTTGGCGAGCGTCCTAACCGCTATACCACCGACGTGCCTAACACCACCCAAACTAGCGAAGAAAGAATATAACGCCTGATTGCTGGAAGGTATATTTATTGACGATGAATTGGAAAGAGTATGCAAGTGTATAGTCACACCATAAAGAACCTGCTGAGCTCTTGTCCTCTGAAAATTATGTCGGCCTCTATGTGTTTCAACCTCGCCTAGTTGACTAGCTCGCTAGTTTTCTAGCCGGTCCTGAGCCCCGGTAAAGAGGGACGGTAGGGCGTGGGGCTAGTATCCACACACCAATAAATCTTTCAAACCGCTAGAGAAACTTCAGCGCACAGAAATTATATTAAAAATACAAAACTTCAAATAAAAATCTTATTCTTCACTCGGATCCGAGAGGCGAAATGACGCCGGTAGGTGAAAGCTTTCGGGAAGCCAGTCAGCCGATATGTCTTCTCTCTGTGAAAGTAAGAGTAATAATGGGGACGTGGAATGTCCGTACAATGTTCGAAGCTGGCTAGGAAGGCTGCACACGTAGCCAAAGAGATGCCGGGATATGCCTTAGAAGTGCTAGGTATCTGAGGGAGCGAATGGAATGGATGTAGATTATCCGAATCGTCAACGGATGAGTCAGCAATCTACTCCGGTTTGGTTACCTAGACGACAACCACGAGCACACTGAGGCACTGTGTGACTATTAGGATGTCACCAACGGCGGCCAGAGTTCTAATACAGTGTCAACCAATTTCAATCAGGATCATGACAGCGAAATTCAACTCAAAAGGAGGGAAGGAAGGTAGCAATCATCCAATGCCGCGCAGTGTTACAAACAACGTGGAACAAGAGAAGAAGGAGGATTTTTACGGAAAACTACGAGTAGTAATAGACAACGTCCCAAATGGTGACATCAAAATCCTCATGGGCGATATGAATGAAAGCTACACAGGGAGGAGATAATGTATGAAGAGAACTCATCATGGGTCGAGAGGCTCTCACTCGGAGAAATGAATGTGAACGAAGAATTATTCACAGACTTCCGAGCTCTGAATGCTTTGGTGATTGGAGGTAGTGTGCACAAACACAAGGATATACACGAAGCAACATGGATTTCGCCTGATGGACACACCAGAAACCAGAAAGACTTCACTTCAATGCTGTCCAAGAACGTGAAGACGCAGCCTGCTGGATACAAAGTCGAGAAGTGGAGCAGATGTGGGCTCAGACCATGAACTTATTCATGCAACCTTCAAGGTGAAGCTGAAATACATGAAAAATAATGGAAACAGACCATATTTCAGATCAAACTTTCAGAAACTCGACAGAGGGAAAAATTACAAGGGATGCCTTCAGTACAGATCACATCAGAGCAAAGTCGGAGACGCCGAGGGGTGTCACCGAGGAGACTTGTGTGGAAGAAAATTGGAACTCTCTGAAAACGATATTTAAGGAAACGTGTACGCGGTACGTTCAACGTTTGCGTTACATTTTTGCGTGATTCGTTACCTAAAATTTATCTCGTTGTAAAAGTACTATACTATTTCCATACCTGTAACCATTAACTCTCATATCAAATAGTTATGGTTAATCAAAGTAAAAAGCAACGAACCCAATCCCCTGTAAATCTGGTGACTAATTTAACGTCTTTGATTGCTACATCAAGCAACACATCCCTTACAAACGGTTATAGTGGGTCACATAACTCACTTGTATGCCGTAAGCGTCGAGCTGGAACTGAGGATAAAACTGTACTGACAGCTAGTATTGGCACTACTCCTAAAAATTCAGTACCCTCTGGTCATACAGAACCCCTCTCTACACCTTATGTGCTTATCGAAATACTCCAGCCATCAAGGTCTTTTTCAGTACTATCTTCAGAAATAGAACTTCTAAAGTTGTCTATAGGAGAACTTAAGGCTGAGTTAAGGGAAATAAAAAACAGCAAGTCAGTAAATGCTGGAAACATCGAAACCAATACCGAGATATCCAAATTATCAGATCAGATCAGCGATATCAGATCGCAGGTCTGTGAACTGACACCTCTGACTATCCTCATGAAGCTGTAAACCTTAACAAACTTGACACAGAGTCAGCAACTAAGGTAAATAACCTCATTAACTTTGTTATCCCAGAAGTAACAAAACGACTCGACGCAAAACTGAGTGCTATTGTCTACAACGTTCCGGACAATGAGGCACTAAAAAAGGTACAGCGCATCTTACTCAGTGAGGCGAAAATGCCTAACTCCAAGACTAAGTGCTATAGGCTGAAGGAGAGTCAACATGAAAGTGTTGTCCTATTCGTTTTCAGTTCGAAACACCGGCAGAGACCAGAAAATTCATCCACTCCCAACACACCCTATCGCAAGCCAGAAACTACAAACTCATAAAGGTTGCGGTGATCTAAACAGTCATAGAAAGGCGCGCATACAATTTACTCGCTAAGCTTAATTGTGAAATAAGTAATAGGACATTGCAAGCAACCATTATTCTTAAGCCTCTGAGAGATACAGTAGACCCCATCGCATCACCCCTCTCAAAACACACAGAATTATCCCATCAGAGTGCAACACCAGCTGAAAGCCCATTAGATTGTAACCAAATAACTAGTAAAACCATATCACCTATCACCTCAGAATCTAAAATGCCACTAAATAACCCCAGAAAAAAGTCAAAACCCCCGAAATTCGACACTGTCCTCTCCTAGCTATAACTCCATTGCTAAAGATAAGGAAAATATGCCCCTAAATCATACCAACAAAAACAGTGGCAGCTTAAATAAGCCCACACTCCCCACGGTTAATAGTATTAGCACTCACAACGTGCTAAATCGCACCGTGGCACACACTAATATCCAATGTCACAACGATGTCACCCTAAATAGTACAAGTGGTAATAGTCAGAACTCGGCTACCAACAACTCAGGGTCTTCAGAGTATGGCACACAAACAAATTTCGACCGGATATATGGTACAAGTCTGCTGGGAACTAACCCACAATGCAGTACACACGAAACCCACACAATGACACAACTAGCATCAAACAA